CTGCTCCAGATGGTACACAAACGATTATACCTGCTACAACATTAGAGGATGGAAAACAAGTGTTTCATATTCCCAGAAATTCAGCTCATCATTCTTTAGAGACGTTGAATAATGGAACAGTCACAATTGTCGGTCCATCTAACAAACAAGAGCCAATGCAGTTAGCAACAGTGCCTGTCAGTTATTGTCAGTGGAATTGTTCAAGGGATTTGGGGGTCGATTAAAAAATGTTATTTTAGATTCTATCAGTGCCGGAGCAGATGAATGAAACAAGTGAAAGGTCTGCTGAGACTCACCAACTGGTTCCCGCTACTATATCTCAACTACCCGTGATGCCTCAGTTGGCAGAACTGCATCCTCTACGACCTCCTTCAACGAGTGGTGACTCAGGGCAGTCTGATAGCCAGATTCAACGCAACCATTCACATCCTCAACAACAGCAGCAGCAGCAACAACAACAACAGCAACAGCAACAACAGCAGCAACAACAACAACAGCAACAGCAGCAGCAGCAGCAACAACAACAACAACAGCAGCAACAACAACCAATTATATTTGCCGTACAAGAGCCGCAGCAATCTGTTCCCCACCAGGTAAATTTTGTATAGCGGTCTCCTTTAGTTGCTTTTAAATTTTTTCAATGTTTTGATGCATACTTATTTTCTTTGCTAATAAAGATTTAAGGTGACTTTTTTTAATGGTTTCCATGTTGCAGATTATTGTTGCTGATCTTAATCAACCAACTGGCGTTGTACTTTCTAGTATGAGTAGTCAAATGCGGTCCAGAGGGCGACCACCCATATATGCGGCAGCTGCTGTGGCCATTCAACAACAGCAACAAGCTCAGGAACACGAACAGCAGGGATCCGTTGTTCTTGTGCCTGCAACTCAAGTACTTTTCATTAATACATTCTATTTTTCAAGAAGTCTTTTTAAATAGTCAAGTTTAACGGTTTAACGGTTTTTTTACAGTTATCTTTACCTGTTGAACCTACAATGAATTCTACTAACCTACGACCGAACAGTCGACAAACAAGGAATATAAATCAAATCTCTTTAAACTCAGCTGGTGGTCAAGATATCCTGGCGGTAGCCACAGCTGCAGTGGGAAATACAGTTGAATTAACACCAGAACAAAAATTAGAAATGCAACGGGCGAAAAGGGCTGAGCGAGCGAGGTCATTATAAAACTTAAGGAATATTTGTATAGCAGGGCGCACAGCAGAGTATTTCTTCTAAGCTGGATTTTTCTGCTTACTTTAAAGGTAGCTAGTTTTTAGGATGCGTTATCACAATATGTCTGAAGAGGAGAGACGTAATTTCAACGCGAGACGTGCTAGTGCTCTGAAAAGAGCTCGGATGAGAGACGAACAGCTTTGTTTATTAGCAGAAAGTGCTGAGTTAACAGGAGGGATGCTTGACGAGGAAACTTTAGCTCAGGTGAGCTGTATTTTAGTTTATAAATTCACATAGATTATAATAAACCTTTACAGATTTTACACTTTTTCATTTGAGTAGATGAAGTAGCTGCAGTAAAAAGACTCCTTTTCTCAGATAAGAATCTCAGTAAACTATACACTGATTCCACCAGTGAGCCATTTTTTGCCCCGCTGCGTTCTTTGGTCCATTCAGAAATTTTGACAAGTTTTAACTTCAATTATTTTCTAAAATCTATTTTGGTGAGTAAAATGGCTAAGCAACTGACTTCATTACCTTTGGCACATCGTTTTTTGCAAAAATTTGACTTCGGATAAGGTAATAAGGAAAGTAGGTTGAAGGCGACGAGGTTCAGAAGCAGTAGAACTAGTTGAAATTGACGTACTAAAATAAACCAGTGGTTTTTGAGAGAGTGAGTAACTTTAGAAATTGGAACCGGAGTGATGAAAACTGAGTTGGTTGCATCATTATTTTAGTTCTATTTGGTGCGGTTTTTAATTTTAATTGTTATTCATTTGGTTTTTCTAGAACCTTTTTCACTACATTTTTGCCGCATCAAGTTGTAGCACTTAATTGATTGGAAAATATTTCTCAGGAACCTCTATTTTTTCATCTCATGCAGTAGTGCTGAATGCTTACAATTAAATCCGCTGTTTTTTTTCTCTTCTTTGATTTACTTTTCATCTCATCCAGTCATTTTCAAGCAGTTTTATTGCTTGCATGCGACCTTTTCTGAGAACAGTTTTTTTTCAGCTTCACTGCTGTTTAATATTGCTTTTTTACCATGGCTTTGCAGTCGTGTTTTTTAGATTGAAGAAGCACAGCGTCGCCGTGCTAGGCGTGCTGAAGCGGCTCGACTGAAATACCATCGAATGAGTAGCGAGGAAAGGAGACAGTATAATGCTGTCAGAGATGCCCAAAGAAGACAGAGGTATACCTTCTAAAGTACTTCTGGTTTGACTGGAAGATACTTTGCCACTTATCATGGTTTTATGGGAAAAAGTTTTATGGCAACTTACCTCCCTACTAAATTTTTCGTTGATTTTGTGAATCTATGGGTATTTCTAGCCTGTTTGCAAATTCTTGTTACAAGTTCTTTCCTCTTGAGACTTTTTTTCCTCATTACCAACTTTTTTTCTAGAAAAAGAGAACAAGAAGCTGCTGGCCTCCTGCGACAGCAACAGCAACAACAAAAACAGTCAAAACAACAGGAAGGGCAATCGCAGCAGCACGGAGAGACAGGAGAGGTATAAGCCTTTATTACTTTTTGATTTAAACTAAACTGGTGCAAATTCCGCAGCATCTTAGACTGCGGGAGGCGGTATTAGTTATTAGTCCACTGTTCTTTATTCACTCCATTGAAACTATGATTTGACTATGAAAAGCGGGGTTTTTATTGCCTAGTCGACGATCATAACAGTGCTTTTTTGCTAAATGATTATTTCAAAAATTATGCTACACAGCAGCTTCTTTAATCTTCTTTATAATTCATGTCAACTTCAGGTCCGTGAGAGCCAACACGATGAAACAGCAAATCAGACGTTGAGTTACAATACTTTCATCCAGTATGAACATCCTTTAGAACAAACTTGGGAAAGATAATTTCTTGCGAAAGCTCTGCTTCATCCCTAAATGTTTTTAGTTTCTAAAGGCTTCAGTTTGCGGTGTACTCAAAATAGATACGGGTTTGTAACATTATTTCTTCTTTTCTGTTTCTAATATTGCTCTGAAGACACTAGTTCTTGCAGGCTCATTTTTTGCTCTGTCATCTAGCATTTGTATTCAATAGAGCTTTTATTAAGTTTTTTTGCGAAGGTACACTGTGGGCAGAAGTGACCTGGAAAGCTGATAAGAAATATTGTAAATTTTTTTTTCAGGTTACTGCTATCCGGGTACCTTGGTGGCAGTACTGATCGCTCGTTGCTTTAACGTAGTCTGAAACGTAAAATTTGCCTCCTTTCTGTATTGTACATAAATTCTGACTCAGTTTTGCCTGAATGTCTCAAATCGTACTCGCAGGTGGGAGCTGTTGAGTACGGTTGCTTTAGGTTTCACTTTTTTATTAGTACTTTTGTAAGAGTTGATGACTCGAATTTCTCACATTACTGTTTTCATTTTTTTCTGTAAATTAAAAACTTATATTTTTAAACGAAATGTTGATCTCACTGTGGATCTGTTGTTATTCTGTTAAGAAATTTCTCTGGTAATGTTTGTGTTTTACCATGTGGAATAATAATCGGCTTCCGTTCGAAAAGATCCATGTTTCCACTCAGTGCTGCGGCCATGAAGTTTAATTTAATGCAAACGTGTAGTGTTTTGGAAGGTGGCGGTAGAGGTATTTCCCTGTGGCAGCACTATGAAGTCCTGTTCGCACTCAGATCTGTGATACATCTTCATTGCTAGGTTCTTGTGATTTATTTGCATACTGGCTTGTCTTAGGAGATTTATTGTAGTTGGACGACCATGTATACAATATGTCAACGAAATTTAGATGTGGTAATCCCGACAGAGTGGTCTCCAGTATAGTAATTAACAGAACGCTTGAGGGATTACCAAAGAGGAATAGAAATTCGAACCATCTCAAGACTTTTTCAGCCCCTCCTATGACA